ATGTGGGAGGAAGGAAATTCAACTTCAATGGTTTCTGGGCCTTCCCTCACTTCCCCTGGGTCTCACAGAATCTGGAAGATTTTTGTGCCCCTAGAATATGAGGGGTGATTCCCTGCTCTCCTGTCCATCATAGTCACTATGGCTTCCTTGACCCACAGCTCGTTGCCTCTATTCCATGTATCTCAAGAGATTTATCTCTGCCTCCCTCTCTTTATTCCACCTTCAAGCTGAAATCTGTCTGCTGCCACAAAAAAAAAGTAGTTATTGCTATGAGCAGAAAGCTGCCCAGCCTGCTCTATTAATCATATGAGCAACCTTTCCCATATTTTTGAAGTCCTCATGATCACTGAAGAAGCACTCTATAAATAATAATTTTCCTATTCACTTAGGCCAGGGAGAAGAAACGGAAGATTAAATTTTATGTCCCTGTTCATGATACAGCTAAGGAGTTGTATCAGCTCCGTTTTTTTTTTTTTAACCTTAATAGAGACAAGAAGGGTTTGAAAAGGTTATATAGTCCAATAGATGGTTTAAAAATTCCTCCCCTTATTTATTATCCTTTTCCCACATTTAGCCTGTTTGCATTTATATTGTACTTCAACTTTTAATTCAATCAACATGTATTTGTTGGATTTCTTTTATGTGTGTGGTCCTGTGCTGAATACTCTATTTACCTCTCAAATTCCACTGAGAAATGCCGGCAAAGAACTTCATTCAGATGCCTCTCAGTGCAGAAACACCTTTTTGCCTGCTACCACACCCTTTTGTCCCAACTACTACTTTTACAAATGCTCTATTTAATGAAGAGGCCAAATGGGTTAATTTGGGCCAGAAACTAATGATTTGAGAACGTGAAATATTATAGGTTTTTTTTTCTGTCTCTTGATTGAACCTATCAACAAAAATATTAGTGCTGTGTTGATACATTTTGAAGGAAATGTCATAATCAACCTTATCAATAGGACCTTCTGCTCTTTAAAAAAGAAATTTAAAATTAAGAAACTGGCCAGGCATGGTGGCTCATGCCTGACATCTCAGGAGTTTGGAGGCTCAGGCAGGAGGATAACTTTGAGGCCAGGAGTTTGAGACAAGCCTGGGCAACATCGTGAGATGTGGTTAAAAAAAAAAAAAAAAAAAAAGCCAGCCATGGTGGTGTGTGCCTATAGTCCTAGGTACTCAGGAGGCTAGGGTGGAAGGATCACTTGAGCCTAGGAGGTGGAGGCTTCAGTGAGCTGTGATTCTACCACTGCACTCCAGCCTAGGTGACAGAGTGCGACCCTGTCTCTTAAAAAAAGAAACAAAAGGGCCAGGTGCGGTGGCTCACACTTGTAATCCTAGCACTTTGGGAGGCCGAGGCAGGTGGATCATGAGGTCCAGAGATCAAGACCATCCTGGCCAACATGGTGAAACCCTGTCTCTACTAAAAATACAAAAATTAGCCAGGCATGGTGGTGGGTGCCTGTAATCCCAGCTACTCGGGAGGCTGAGGCAGGAGAATCGCTTGAACCCGGGAGGCGGAGGTTGCAGTGAGCCAAGACTTCACCACTGTGCCCCAGCCTGTCGACAGAGCAATACCCCATCTCAAAAAAAAGAAAAAAAGAAACAGAAACAAAGGAATTAATTTTTTTAACTTAAACATACAATTCTATTAGTCATCAGGGGAACTCCAGTGTTAATGAACAAGAGTATAGTATGTATGTTACCTTTGGCCCATTGGTTCCTTTGAGAAACTATAAATATTTCATAAAAATTTAAGAAGCTCTTAAAAGAGAGAACAAATGAGCTGTGTTTTAATACAAATGGAACTATAAATTATTCATAGATAAATGGCTATGAAAATCTGTTCTAATATATTCAGCCAGTATTTCCTATTTTAAAAGCACTGCATTTTGGGCTCAACGCTCGGCACTGGGAATGTGAGGGTGAGCATTGTCTAAGGAGTTTATAGTGTCATAACTTTTTGCTATAATCTCAGTAAAAATTTAATATTTCAATATTATTAGATGCTTAAACTTTAAAGTCCTGAGGTTTTAAAGAGAGTTATGTAATGAAATTCCAGGGTGTTCATTTACTCACCTAACCGTTGACATTTAAACAGTCTCTCTCACATTTTAACAATTATAACACCTTTCCTTCACTCTACTTCCCACTCTAGTAACTGCCTTCTTTCTTTTCACATCTGTGTTTCCAAGAGCTTGCTAAACTCACTCTTTTCCTCTCCATCCACTCCCTTCTAACCTTTCTACCAGAACAGCTCGAATGCTCGATAGCCCTCATTCTATCCAACATGTCCCTTCTTGAAACACTTTATTCTCTTGCTTCCATACTTCGCCAGTTTTCCTTCACCTCCAGGGTCTCTTTTGTAGATTCCTGCATGTGGCTGTTACATGTCAAAATTTCTCAAAGCTCAAGTTTGTGGCCCCCCTTTTTTCTCATATTCTAACCTTTACTGAGGTAATCTCATTAACTTCTATGCCAACAACTCCCAAATTTACATTTCCTTCCCAGATTTCTCCTTTGAGCTCCAGATCAGTGTATCCAATTGCATTCTCTCCATCCTTATGAGGAAATCTCAAAGGCTCCTCTAACTCAACACATTCCAAATGAAATCAGGATCTTCACTCCTCCATGCCTAGGTATGATATCTCGGTGAATGGCACTGTAACCCATTTATTTGCATAACCCACAGACCCAGCAACTGGTTTTGAAACTCACGTCTCCTTCGCCTCCCGCCTCATAGTATTCAGTACATTAGCAATCCCTTATAAATCTCTCTCAGATCTACCCACAACTCTGCATCTGTGCAAACCCTGCCCTAATCCAAGTTAACATCCTTTCCTGCCTGGACAACTGTGTAGCCAGCTAACTGGCTTTGGGCAGCCCTCTTTTCTAGCTCAGTCTGTCTTCCCCATTGCAACCAGAATAATCTTTTAAAAATGCAAGTATGATCAAGCTGCTTAGATGCCTAAAACCCTTTAATCAGTATTACTTGTAGCTGAAAGGTCATAATCTGACTACCTCTCCAGCCCTATTTTGCATCAGGCTCCCTACTTGCTCCCTCTACTACTGGCATAATTTAAGTTCCTTTAATGTGCCCCGTGCCCCATTCCTAGCGCAGCTGTTCACCTTGTTTGACACACTTCTCCCTTTGTCCTCCTCAGATTGCCTAAGTAACTCCTATTCAATTGACCAGATGTAAGGTCATTTCCCCACAGAAGCCTTCCCTGGCCCCTCAGACTGAATCAAATTCCCCTTTTCTTTTCTTTGAGATGAAATCTGCTCTTGTCCCTCAAGCTGGAGTGCAGTGGTATGATCTCAGCTCACTTCAACCTCTGCCTCCTGGGTTCAAGCAATTTGCCTGCCTCAGCCTCCCAAGTAGCTGGGATTATAGGCGCCTGCTACCACGCCTGGCTAATTTTTGTATTTTTAGTAGAGACGGGGTTTCACCGTGTTGGCCAGGCTGGTCTTAAACTCCTGATCTCAGGCGATCCACCTGCCTCAGCCTCCCAAAGTGCTGGGATTACAGGCATGAGCCACTGCAGCTGGCCCAAATCCCCCTTTTCCGTACTTTCATAGCACTCGCTATTTCATAGAAATGATTGTTCACTTGTACGTACACATTTGGTTGTATAATGATTTGATTAATGTTTCTCTTGCCCACCACTTTATTTAACGAGGGCAAGGACTGTATTTGTTATTCTTACCATTTAATCCTCAAAGCCTAGTGCACATAGTAGGCACTTCCTAAAAGTCTGCTGACTGAATAAACAGAGGAGATGAACGAATGAAGGTCACAGGTCATAGTAACTTGCCAAGGGTGAAGATGGCAAGGCAGAGACTGTAGCCAGATTTGCTAATTTCCAGTCCAGATCACCAGGCTTCTCAACAAATATCTTGTTCTAAATTTTGTTCTAAATAATTGGAACCAAAGCAACGTCACAACTCAAGTCCAATTTCTTGGCCTACCATTTTCTACAGATGGCATTTATTCAGCAAGAGAATGTTGTAGGTATAGTAATTTTTCTTTTTTTCCATGAAACGTGCTATCTTCTTGCTCTATTTTAAGGGATATTATGATAAACAATGCCACTAATTAAAACTTCTAAAGCTTCTTGAGATTCTCAGGAAAAGTACAAGGTATAAGTCAAAAAGAGTAATTTTGTGTCTTACAATAGAATTTTCTGTTCAAAAAATGCTGTTAACTCAAAAAAATGATATCTCCAAAAGAACATTCTAACAGGTGGGATAGTCATCATAATATTTCCAACTACTATGTATATCCCTTCCCTTAAAAGAAAAAAGGAGAAAATCACTTTGCTATGTGTAAGTACATTGCATGTTTTATAAAATCCACATAAAATGTTCAGTGGTTCAAGGAGTGGCAGCCACATTTCTAAGGCAAATTGGCTTGTCCCCGAAGAAGCTTGAAGATCTGACTCTCAAGGGTCTTTGTGCTTTGGATGAAAAGGAATCATTATTTTTGAACTCCCCCTGCTCACGTCAGTGACTTCCACCTGCAGCCAATCCATTGGTTATAAGCACCCATGAATTACCTTGCTGATTATAGGCAGGTTAGCCTAGGAGGGCCAGCCAAAATTGAACTCCTGGTAAGCCTTATTAGCCTTTTCTATGATGTGTCTCAGTTTCCATTTCGCACATTGGAGTGGAAGACAATCTCTACTCACACTGGTGTGGTATGTGTTTGTCTGTCTCAGATGTGTGTGTAAGGTGTGTTTCTCAGCTCACAGTATGTGAAGTATTTTTTTTTTAAGACTGCTATCTTAAGGCTTAAAAGTAATTAAGGCTTTGGTTTTTGTTATTATTTTAAGAATTGCACTTTCTTTGGAGACAACAAAGTACTTCTTTTTTCAAAGATGAAAAAGGCATACTCAGACTTTCTATGTTATGTTCATAATTGTTTTGCATATCACTATACAACATTCTCATCATCATGGGCTACCTTTAAGCTAATCAGTTGGATTTGGCGATCCTCGTTTAGAAGTCAATATGCAAAAAAGATGGCTGTAAAACTTAGATAAACCAGTATGCTATTTCTCCTTCCTTGTCTGCCTTTGTAGATGTTTCATCTTTCCTTCTCTTTTCCCTATCTCTCAGTGACCATGGACAGCTCTCCGATCCCCTCTTTCACTCAGCTTCATTCCACCATGACCACAGCACCTCTCCTGCTACTACGTGTTGCCCTGGTGCTATTTGGGCATGTGCATGGAGCCACATTAAGAAATGAAGACAAATGGAAGCCACTCAATAACCCCAGAAACAGAGATTTGGTAAGAACACACCTGGGGCCTGGGTTTCAGGATAGAACTAATGCCTCTTTGGATTTATGCACGAAGCATTCTGTTTTCCAGAGCATAGTGGAAAGGGGGCTACCAAGTGTTGAGAAGATTCTTCAACAGGACTGGACCAGAATTTTACTACCCTAGTGGTTGGCAACCTATTATTTCTCTGGCCAATTTACATTTGTTTCTGTAAAGAGAAACAAATTTATATTTGGAAACAATCTTATACACACATAGGGCATTTCATTTGTCACTGATCTTATATATACATTGACTTCGTAACCTTGACTTCTAATACATATACAAAATCAAGAGAGTAACAGGGAATTGCTTTTGCACAGCTTAGATTTAACTGATGATAAAACAAGTTACCATATAAATAGTAATTGCCAAGCTCAATTGCAAAAATTGAAAGTTGACCCTGCATGGGTATCAATTTACTAGGCATATTTTTAACATATAGTTATCTAGAAAATAGAATTCAAAAGATCACTAAACATTCTCTTGAAAACAATATGCCAAATACAATAAACATGTTGACATGACTATTTCAAATTTTTTTTTCTAAAGTGAATGATGTGAAATTTAACAACATAGGATTAAAATAAACTGAGATAAGAGACCAGCAGGATTTGTTTTCTGGTCACAACTGCTGACCAAAACAGGATCTGGTCCAGAGAGGATAAAGTGAAAAAACTGTATGAAACCAGCAGATAGCGACAAAAGTGATCCCTATCTGCTCTCGTTGTTCTGGATATGATTCGCCCACCAGTGCCCTGACAGTTTATAAATGTCATGGCAATGACCTGGAAGTTACCACTCCTTTCTGTGGCAATGATCCAGAAGTTACCACCTCTTTCCTAGAAAGTTCTAAACCCCCTTCTATTTGTATTAACCATCCCTTAATTTGCATATATTTGAAAGTGGATATAAACACAGTTGCTAAAAGCCCATATGTTGTCAACTCTGGGTGCACTACTTATGAGTTAGCCTTGTTCTGGTAGGAACAGTACCTTTCAATAAAAGATTGTTACCACAACCAGCCTGCCCTTAGATTCTTTTCTGGGCAAAGCCAAGAACCCTCCTGGGCTAAGCCCCAGTTTTGGGCTTTACCTGTCCTGCATCAAGGCAAGTAGCACTTTGCACATCTTCTGTGTTCATTTCCTAATGGAAATCTGAAAAACTTTGAAAAGAAACCTGCAGAAAGTAGCAACAGAGATCTTATCTTAAGGAAGAGGAGATACTGGGTTGCTCATTATGGAGTTCAGTTTCATCTCTGACCTTAGTACTCAGAGATAGTTCACAATGAATCTTTGAATTGTGGTGCTGTTCCATATTCTTCCTTCATTTTTCACTAAGAATGGTAAATCATCTTGGTTAGGGTTGAAATGTCAGAAGGCACAGAGGAGGGGAGGAGAAGTAGCTGAAGCTTGTATTTGTATTTCTGGATTTTGATTTCCAACCTCTTGCCTCCTAGATTAGCCTTAAAGTCAATTCAGGAGAAAAATAGAGGAAAAAAAATTCACTTTTATTTTAGGTGTTTCATTTATATCCACCAATGAACATTTTCTTTCTCTCTTTAGTTTTTCAGAAGCCTTCAGGCATATTTTAAGGGCAGAGGTCTTGATCTTGGAACGTTTCCAAATCCTTTCCCCATGGATGAGAACCCTAGACCCCTCTCTTTCCGACCAGAACTTCTTGCTTCTGCATTTGCAGATTGTGAAGAGCAGAAAAACTCCTTTCACAGTTATCTCAAAGGCTGAAAGTTTCTTCTGAGTCCAGGTAAAATGTGGCCCTTTATTCACAGGATCTGTCCTAACATACAATTCAGCCATAAAGTAGGTATTCTGAAAGTATTTATTTGAAAAATGGTTTTATTTCTCCATAGAAATAAGTGCTCAGTTCTGCTTATACTCATCACTGTTAAGTATTTGGATTTGGTTCGGGCAGGTATTTCACAGTCCTGTTTTAAAAAGAAATGACAGTTTTGATTTTTTAAGCATAGTTATCCAGGGAGAGACATATTAAAATGATAGAATGATCCCTCTTAATAGGATCATTAAATTAGTAACATGGCCACATTCTTACCTATATCTTTTTCCAGGCAAGGTGATATAGCTGTGTGGAAAATCTACATAAAGAAATATGTCAAATTAAGTTGTTGGATTAAATGGGAATTAGAAGTTAAAAGAATGGTTCTTTGGGGGATAAAGTAGTATGCATATATTTGAGCTTGAACTCCTCACCTATAGGAAGAAAAGTTGACTAGTAGTAAGGATGGCATTTTTCTCATAGAAAAAGGATTTGAATTTCATTGCTCTTATTATTTTATTATTCCTATCAAACCAATACCTACCATTTACAAAGAACAAGTATCGCGCATTCCAAGCAAATATTTTATGATTTCAATCTGTTAGCTTTTTGTTTAGCTGAATAATAAAGGGAATGGAATCATAATTAAAATCTTTTCCCATTCTCCCACAAGTGTAATTTTGAAATTCTGAGGAAGCATACCTCTCTTGTGCTTTATTATGTTTGTGAAAGGGTTTGCAATATTAGTTCTTTCAAATGTGATGATTAAAAAATAATGATTGGTATTCTAAAAAGAACATATAACTTACCATGTGGAATATGCCCTTAGATAGTGTTCTAAAATGAGAAAATAAAATAGAAGAAACGGTAAGATGTTAATGAAGTTTTCTCTTGACTATTATTCACACTTTGGCCTTAGGGTATCAGAGAATAGTTATTAATACCATGCTACCTTCTTTAGTAAAAGGCAGATAAATTGCTTGTAAGTCTCAGTTTCTTCATCTGTAAATTACAGATACTAGTTTCTGTCTTACAGAAAGTATCATAGAAAATATCAAATACATACTTTCATGTGAGCATGGAATGAGGTAATATTTAAGGGCAGGAAACTGATAAAGCACCTGATTGGTGGTATCATAAAAGAACAGGAATTATTTAACTTTATGAAAAAAAACAAAGCTTCTGATTTGGAGTATATTTCATAATTATGAGCTCTATGTTCCTTTTATCTCTGGTGAGAAAATGAAGACAAAAAGAGCTTTCATTAAAACATGTTGATTTCGGGGTCTTTGGGTTGATTGTGTAGTTTTCATTTTCTATTTAATTATAACATTGTCTTGTTCTTTCAGGTGTCTGGCTATTTTAAAACTACAGATGAAGCTTCTCATTAGAAAAATTCAACCATTATCTTAGCTAAACTTTTGTGGACTTTTTTTTCCCCTTCATTTTTATATTTCAGTTTGTAATGATTTTATTCCACATTTCCAGATTTACATATAAATTGCTGGAACTATGATTTCTATGCATATTTATGGAGTGTTTTTCCTGTATAACCATAAATATTGATGTAGAACACTGCATGTATTTGTAGGAGTTACAAAAACATCACAAACTGAAAAGAGATTATAATCTTCTAAATTAGATGTTTCTTAAAGCTTGTTTTTAAAACTTGTCTTTTACGTTTATTATATTTTATCAACCAATATATTTTTTGAAAGTGACACATTCACTTTTTCTATAGTAAAATTCATTATATGTGATGGGGATTGGTTTTAAAATTTGTCTTCCTTCCCTGAAAAGAAGATGCATCCCCACATTCAGCACATACTACTAAAAGACCTCACAGTTTTAGTTTCATAAGAAATGAGGGCAAGTGATAAACAGCTACAATTAAGTTAAAATGGAAGCAAACAACAACAACAAACATGGGATTCTGGAAGTTGTCAACGCCTCTGAAGATGCTTTTGCCAAAATATTCAGAGGTGGACACTGTGCCACATCAAATATTCTAGCAATGCCCCAGCCCTTGCTCCCATACACAACCTCCTCAGTAAGGAAAAGTAGACACAGGTGATTTCCTCTCTTTCCAACCAGCCCCTGCCCTTCTTACTCTAGCTCATGCTGAGTTATTCTGATTCCCATATTCTTATTTGGAACAGCTACTTTTCCTGTATCTTTATAGATAGCCACATCTATAATGTTGTGTTAAAAATGCAACATTGTCCTGACAGTCTGTGCATTTTAAAATAGTTTACTGTGACTTTTTTGGTGGATTATTGCTATTGTATATGAAAAAATAAAATATTTGTGCAAGAACAGATTTTGTGTCTGGTTTAAGATGTTCTATTGTAATTAGTTGTATATGTGTCTGTTTCTCCTGAACAGTGGTGAGGTCTTTGTGAGCAGAGACCGTATCTAATTCACCTTTATTTCCCCAGCACCTAGTACAATGCCTAGCATGGAGCAAGTGTTCAATAGATACTTGTTGAATTGAAATAAACATGTGCTGTTCAGCCAGTCTTCACACAGTAATGGAAGCTGCTTTTAGTTAATGTCAGAATTTTTTTGTTGTCATTTAAAAAATGTAAGTAATTCTTGATGAGCTATTCCTCATCATAGTATAGTTTATTCATACAAATGGTAGAGTGGTAGGGAGTTTTTCACCACTGTTAAGTTCCAAGTACTAGTGGCTGGTTTTCCCTTTCTCACTGCTATCCCTGCTCTGGGTGTTAAGACCTCCACAAAGGAAATGCTTATCAGTTTCAGGGTTTTGAAAAGAAAGGGCATTCATATGGGACATTTAGCTATGAGCTTGCAAAGTTTCAGGGCAGCGACATTCATCCTTCAGCTGGAAAATTTTTACAGATGGAAGCCCATACCTCACACTGACTAGAGTTTCTTAATGGTAATGCTATTGGCAGTAGGGGGAAGTCAAATTATCACTGTGCATGAACAATTAGCACACCTGGTCCCCAGATACTCTATGTTAGTAGTTCCCTCAGATCTGCCCTATCATTTTGACAATCAAAACCTCCTGGGGGCTGGGTGTGGTGGCTCACACCTGTAATCCCAGAACTTTGGGAGGGAGAGGTGGGCAGATCACCCAAGGTCAGGATTTCGAGACTAACCTGGCTTAATATGGTGAAAGCCTGTCTCTACTAAAAATATAAAAATTAGTTGGGCATGGTGGCTCACACCTTCAGGAGGCTGAAGCAGGAGAATCACTTGAACCCAGAATGTGGAGGTTGCGGTGAGCCAAGATCATGATGTCACTGCACTCCAGCCTGGGCGACACAGTAAGACTCTGTCTCAAACAAACAAACAATACCCTCCCTACACACATTTCTAAAATTGCTTTCGCTCTTGGCTGAGAACTACTGCTAGAACATAAATGAAATTTAGTGTTTGCTCCAATGCAAATAAATGTTTTGCAGGTGTTTTAGACTATGGAGGAGTCTCTGGTACTTCTCTATGTAGGTCCTTGGCAATCACTCAACACTGCAAGGAACCTCTGCTCTTCTTCAGTGAGTACCCCATTCCCCAGTACTTGGCCTATTGTCCCCTGTCTCAGATCTAGGGTGGCCAAGAACTGCTAAGAGTGTGAGCTTTTATTCTACCTGCAAGCTACACACTAGCCTTCTACATTTTTATCAATCTTGGCAGATACATGAGACACCTATATCTGAGACAACTGACTTTGTTACTGATAGCATGGCAGGTAGCGACATGAGTTTTACACTCACATCAGTTTTCCTTACCCCTCCAAGTATCAAGGGGGCCATGTGAATGTGGGTCCAGGGGTATGCTGGGCACAAGTGGGTTTGTGCCACAGCTGAGGAACTCCAAACTTAGGAAATCCCCCCTCTTCTAATGGGACTGCTATTGACATGCCCAAGCTTTGCCCAGAATGAAACATTTCTTATACTGTTCAGAAAACAGATTCGCTCCCTGCCCCTGAAGGAGACAATAGAGCTACCTTTCAAGTCTGTTTGATTTGAAAACAGCCTTGAAAAGCTAGCCTAGAATAAAGCTATCACAAGCTTTTGGAGAAAAATGAAGGAGCCATGGAAAAATAGTCTCACACATAGGGTCACACTCCATCCCACATGGCTCTTTTCCCTGGCAAGAAGAAAGAATGTATGATTATAATTATATGGTCATGGTAAAAAGTCAATGTTCTGCTTCCTTCAGACTTTCCATTTTGATTCTCAAAACAAGGCTGAATATATTTTTATTATTGCCATAACCATTCCACTTCATCTCAAGGTAATGTAGATACCTCTGACTCATTGGGAACAAATCTCTTCCCAGTAAGTGGGGGAAAGAAAAACAGAAAGATTGAAATTTCAAGATATTTTGCAACAGTCTGACCTCTAAAATAACTTCTATATCCTTAAAGTGTTTCATAGCCAAAAAAAAAAAAAAAAAACCACAAAAAACAAACCAGAAAAACGACCCTCCTACCCCTCGTTCACTGCTTCCTGTTCTTCATAACATGAATCTATATCTCCAGAATTGTTATTTCCATATTTCAGATAGCCAACAATAAGACAACGTAGTCTAAGCCATTTGGGTCTTAGGAGAGTATTCTCCTTACAGTAACCATCCCTCCTCACTTGATTTATCTTCTTTTCCTCTAGGAGAGTTAAAACTGGAGATTCCTAAATTCCTCTTAGACATAGTTCCTCAACTGTCTGGGAAAACTTAGGGGAGAATTTCCCTATAAATAGTTTAAGTACATTACCTTAACACACTCCATCCTGCTCACCTTCCATGTTTTATACCCAGGTAGGACTCTGAAGATCCTTCCTCATGAGAAAGGGGATGGCTTCTAGCTGTGAGATATTTTCTTCTCACTTGGCAGTCCCGCTCTTGCAGGTCCTGGCCCCTCATTCTCCCATCCTTCTGCTGTTTATCATCACCTAGATTGTCATAAAGATGGCTAGGTGATACTCTCCCTGTAACTTGTCATTAACCTTAGCTTCATATTGAGCTATATTCCCGTACTTCAGCTCCATTGCCCACAGTTCCAAAGGCACTTTCAATTCCATCCTATTTAATTCACAAATGTGTTTTCAGTACTAATTATTAGGCCATACAGTAGAGTTTACAATGATGCAGCAGCTAGTGCTGTTCTCAAGATGTTTACAGCTAGTGTCTCCAGAATTGGACAAATAGACAGATAATAATACAAGGGAAAATATAAATCACAGGAGTGTGTAGAAGTTGAAAGACTGTGCCATTCAGAGGAGGCAGCATATTATAATTCCAAGCATGGCACTTGGAATCAGAGACCAGGGTTCAAATCCTGGCTCTACTACTTATTAGAGATCGTAGCATTAGGAATAACATCCACTTTGAAAGAAGGATTATTTTGAGATATGTACATAATATGTTTAAAACAGTAGATGGTTGATGTATTTGTTATATAGCAAACGGGCAATAATGCATAATAACCATGCCAAGTATTTGCTTCTTTCTGAAAGTTTGCTGTTAGGAAAGGAAGAAAACTTGGGAGAGGTGGAACAGGAAGCCCAGGTGAACGTATTTACAGGCTGAGAAGGCGTTTGAGGAAAGGGAGAGTTTGAGGATTCTGGTGTGGGGAGGAAGCGGGGACTGGCGGGAGTGGTTTTTGTTTGTTTGTTTGTTTTTTGAGACAGAGTCTCTCTGTCGCCCAGGCTGGAGTGCAGTGGCACAATCTCGGCTCACTGCAACCTTCAGTGTCCTGGGTTTAAGTGATTCTCCTGCCTCAGCCTCCCGACTAGCTGGGATTACAGGCGTGCCTGCCACCATGCCTGGCTAATTTTTGTGTGTATATATATATATATATATATATATTTTTTTTTTTTTTAAGTAGAGACAGGGTTTCTCTACCTTGGTCAGGCTGGTCTCGAACTCCTAACCTAGTGATCCGCCCACCTTGGCCTCCCAAGGTACTGGGATTAGAGGCGTGAGCCACCGCTCCCGGCCTTCGGGAGTGGGATTTAAAGTATACATTGCGGGAGAATTTTAGCTTTCTGTGGCAGGGGAGAACTGGAAAGTGAAACATGCACGTGGCAGAGAAAATGGTTAAATTAAGAAAAACATATCACACAGCAGCGACCAAATTAAAGAACATACAGAAAAGAAAATGGGAGAATGAAACCAACATCTTAGTGAAGAATTGAGGGAAATTATCTAGATTAAAGAAAATATATTCAAAGCACTTTTTAAAATAGTTATCTAATAATCTGGAACGAGAGCTGAGAGAGGCGGCCGAACGAGTCCGCTGTGCTAAAGCACCGCAGCTTGGGTCGCGCCTCCCGTAAGTAGATCCCGGCCGGGCGCGCAGGCGGAACCCGAGTGCTGCGGCTACCGCGGAGACCGGGAGGGTTTCACGGAAGGACGCCGGTTTCCTGCTCTTGTTTGCACCGGCGCGAGGTAGCGTCTGGAAGGCGCTGCTCTTCCGGTTCTCTGTCAGGGTTCTTGGGGCTGCACTGACAGAGCCTACAAACATGTCGGGGTTCAGTCCGGAACTCATCGACTACCTGGAAGGGAAAATCTCCTTCGAGGAGTTCGAACGGCGGAGAGAAGAGAGAAAAACCCGCGAGAAGAAAGTGAGGCAATGCTAGGCCACGGTGCCCTTCACTCTCGTTGCCCTGCTGCACTTAGGTGTGGGGGAGCCAGACAACCGCTTTCGCTGTGGTGGGGCGGGCTGGGAACTTTCAGCAGCTTCCTTATCTTAGAGAAACTCCGATTGTCACCCCTCATCCCTGTGCTAAGCTTCTTAAAACGTTTTCCCCCACCGGAAAGCTTTTGTCTTGATGGTAACCTCTTCTTTTCCCCCCTAATACTACGTTTTTATCTCAGAGTAGCTTAATGCTGGTAAGTTAAATGGAAGGTGGGGAGAAGAGTTTGTAGTCACAGTGTCAGGTTCTAGCCCTAGCTTTGCCACTAAGTCGTTTTGTGACGATGGATGAGCAGCTCACCTCTCTTCTTTAGGCCTCAGTGGCTCTTTCTGAACTGGAACGATTGAGCTCCAGTTTTTGAGGAATCTCCCTCTGGAGTGAAGTAATAGTCCACAAAAAAAAAGTATTGTTCGATAAGAAGAGAATCCTCACGCATATCTTTTTCCCTGCACTTAGAAATATCTGAACTTGGCCGCGTGCGGTGGCACACGCCTGTAATCCCAGCACTTCGGGAGGCGGGCGGATCATGAGGTCAAGAGTTTGAGACCATGCTGGCCAACATGGTGAAACCCCATCTCTACTAAAAATACAAAAATTAGTTGGGCGTGGTGGTGCGTGCCTGTAGTCCCAGCTACTCGGGAATCTGAGGCAAGAGAATCTCTTGAACCCGGGAGGCGGAAGTTGCAGTGAACCAAGATCGTGCCAGTGCACTCCAGCCTGATGGAGCGAGGCTGTCTCAAAAAAAAAAAAAAAAAAAAAAAAAAGCAGAAAGAAATATCTGAACTTTCTTGCTTCAAGTCCAAGAGAAAATTAATTAAACCTTTTGAAGTTTGCTGGTAGCAAACTTCATAATTCATGAGACTAGTAGGGACTCATCTTTTTATTTATTTCATTTTGTTTTATTTTCAGACAGCGTCTCGCTCTGTCACCCAGGCTAGAGGGCAGTGATGAGATTTCGGCTTACTGCAACTTCCGCCTCCCGGACTCAAGCAGTCCTCCTACCTCAGCCTCTTGAGTAGCTGTGACCACAGGGTTAGCCATCACACTCTGCTAATTTGTGTATTTTTTGTAGAGACAGGGTTTCTCCATGTTTCCCAGGCTGGTCTCCAGCTCCTGAGGTCAATGGATCCGCCTGTCTCGGCCTCCCAAAGTGGTTGGATTACAGGTGTGAGCCACCAAGACATCTTTTTATTTAAAATGTTAAGATACAGTGTGTTCATTAGTGAAATTATTAAGATGTTTATTTTTTTACAAATGACAGATTGAAGGGTAAGATCTAAGTACTTTGAAATGCTTTGATAGTGTTCAAACTTAGATTCCACCTACTGTGTATGTGTTACAGCTCAAGTTTTGTAGAAATAGAAAATGAGGCAAATGCCCTATTCTATAAACTGCCAACCCATGGTCACAAAATGCCTGAGTGGCAAAGCTAGGACTAGAACCAGGTGCTCTGTGGCTGAGGAGAGCTAAGTCTGCATTACTTTTTGGAATCATTAAGTAATTTTCAATCACAGAGTCTTCAGGAAAAAGGAAGACTATCAGCTGAAGAAAATCCCGATGACTCTGAAGTTCCATCATCATCAGGAATTAATTCTACCAAATCCCAAGACAAAGATGTCAATGAAGGTATGTTAAAATTATGTGCTGCCTACATTGAATGTTTAGAGTATGCAAGCAAAGTAATTTAGTAAAACATTGTATTTTCACTGCAGTGATATTCTGTTGATTACCTGGTTTATCAAGAGCATAATGCTTGGTATATAGCAGGTGCCCAATAAATATTTGTCGAGTTATTGAATACCCTGATAGTTATTTTTTTGTGTGAGCCCTAGTGTTGGAAAAGTGTTTTAATTGACATCAATATATATTTGGGAGCTTTTTAGGATTCATTATTTTTTAAATTGGGCCTCTCAGTTAGTAACTAATCACTTCCAGACTATACTCCCTCAAATTGTAATGAATTACACTTCAATATAAAGTGGCTTCCAAACCACTGCTTTAGTTATAGGGAGATAAGGTGGAAATGTAAGTTGGTTGTCCACATGGAACTTCACACACAACATTCGTGTCTGGGTAGGCTACCTCTTTCTAGCATCCAGTCCTTGGCTTTGCGTGTCCAGATATTAAATTTGGTTAGTGCACCCAGACTAATTAAATTCATTGTAGCCTTGTTAATTAACTAGTAAGCAAATTTATTAATTTTCAGTGATAGATACCCTTTTTGGGGGATCAGAATGCTGATAATATCTCAGGGTATCCATTTACTACCAGATCAAGTTACTTGGGATGCTGAACTGCCAAGAAGAATGTAGCTTCATGTATAGGGACTGATAACAACTGTCTAGTTCTAGGTGTTAGAAGTACAGTTTGGGTTCTTTTTTTTTTTTGAAATGGAGTTTTGCTCTTATTGCCCAGGCTGAAGTGCAATAGCGCGATCTCACCTTACTGCAGCCTCCACCTCCCAGGCTCAAGTGATTCTCCTGCCTCAGCCTCTGGAGTAGTTGGGATTATAGGTGCCCACCACCAGACCTGGCTAATTTTTTTTGTGTGTTTTTTTAATAGAGACGAGGTTTCACTATGTTGGTCAGGTTCGTCTCGAACTCCTGAACTTTTCCCTCTAAACAAATAAGCATTTACCCAGAGAACACACAGGTATAGTGTGGCAGAAAATAAACAAGTTTTGTTCCTACCTCCGTGGACCAAGTGGGGAAAACGGGGCAAAGAGGAGGGAAAACTAGCGGTTGCAGTTTCTTATTCTGTCAGGAAAGTGCAGTGGAAAAGGCAGCTGATAAAAAGGAACGAGGTCATGTCCTTTGCAGGGACATGGATGGAGTTGGAAGATGTTATCCTCAGCAAACTAACACAGGAACACAAGACCAAACACCGCATATTCTCACTTATAAGTGGGAACTGAATGATGAGAATACAGGGACAAAAGGGGGTGACACACACAATAACACACACGGGAGCCTGTTGGAGTAGGGGAGGGAGAGCATCAGGCAGAACAGCTAGTAGTTGCTGGGCTTAATATCTAGGTGATGGGATGATCTATGCAGCAGATCACCATGGGACACGTTTACCTATATAACAAACCTCCACATCCTGCACATGTACCCTGAACTTAAATGTTGAAGGAAACAAAAGGCAGCTGAAGTTGTTCTAACAATTTGGGGGTCCTTCCTTATCTGCTGAGAGGAGGAGCTGGTCTTCTGTCATCAGGTGTTTGAGTAGCTACTATAGCAGCAGGCACAAGTGGGTGCCTGCCCGTCCTGTTACCTAACACTGCTTCCAAAAGCTAGCCATTATGCCCTCAGAAAGGGGTGAACTGAGTCCACTTCAGGCTCATCATGAGCAGTCAGGCACACAAGGACTGGCTGGCTTCTGCTCAAATTATCTCATCAGTCCTTGTAAGATATAAAGCTCCTAATTTCCTAGGAAGGAATTGTCCCACAACTCTACCAAGACTCTTGGTAAGTATGAGCATGTATTCAGAGCAGAAGGGGTCAGTTTTGCAGAAGCTTTGGCAAAGTCTGCTAATTGAAATATGTGGCCACTAGGGTTGTCCTTTTACCCTAGACAGTACTAAATACACCACTAAATACTTGCTCTTCACACATTTCTTACACATGGTGAAGATAGGGTCTTCTTTTAATTTCGTTTTCAATTCATTGATGCTCATACATGAAACTGTAATTTTTATATATTGACCTTGTGTTCAGCAACCTTGCTAAATAAATATATTCTTATCATTTGTATATAGATTTATTTTGGGTCTTCTATGTATATAATCATATCATCTGTGACATGATAATTTTATTTTTTCCTTGACATCTTTATGCCTTTTATTTCTCATTACATTGGCTAGGACCACCAGTAAAACAACGTAAGTGATGGTAGTGGGCAACTTTGCCCCAGTCTTAGTAACTTTCAGTAATTCACCATTAGCTGTGTTTGGGGAAAATTTTTGTAGATACCCTTATTGAAATGAAAGATACTCCCTTTCATATTTAGTTGACTAATAATTTTTATTAGGAAAGAGTATTGGATTTTATCAAATGCTTCTTTTTATCAGGATGGATCATACAATTTTTCTTCTTTTTTCCTGTGATAAATTTTACACATTTCTTTTCATCTTTGTTTTGGATGTTCAGAATTCTTTTTTTTTTTT